CGGGTATATATGCTAAGTAAAAATTCAATGGGCAAAAAAATAAAAAAAAAAATTACAATGGGCAAATCACCAAATGAAATGGGCAATTGCCCATTTGGCCCCCCCCCCCCCTCCTCCCCGGATACGCCGCTGCTTATGATACCAGCAGCAAGACGTTGAAGTGTATTTAAAAGCTCTAAATGGGTAGAATATGAGTTATCGCAGACAATTTCTCACACCTCAAAATTCAGTGGTCCGACCACCTCTGCTCTCATCACATTTCCTATGGATTCGAAGGTGATCTAATAGACTCAAAAAAGGATGGCGATTATTCTGGTATATTTTTTGGGTGTTTGCGTCACTTTTTTAGGGTGTTAGTGGGTGTTCGTAACGGAAAAGCCCTGACGAATCTTGTTCGAGATTTTTTCGGTGACAGAGATTAGATGAGAAGCAAATATTACTTTATCCATTACGATATCATCACCAAACCGTCTTACATTAAAATTTTTGATATCTAGAAGAATAATGACAATTGTTTGTCACCTAAAATTCGAAAATGGTGGAAGAAACGAAAGAAAACAAAGTTCTTTTTCGTTTTTCGGTGTTCTACAACATATTACATATCACTGACGGCAAGAAAAGGTATGTACACTGAGGTTTCGTACTATATAACAGACCCGAAACTTTCGCATGACGTTTCATCTCTCATCCATACACTCCCACATTAATTATCAGATTCAACGTATTTAATACAGTACACAACACAATCGAGCATCGATTATTCAATTTTTAATTGTGATCGGTGAAAATTGAAAACATCGGTTATTCGATTTCTTTCGATTAAAAAGCAGTGATCTACTATGTTCATTCATTTTTCACCGAGTTCGGTTATAAAAGTCGAATAACCAAATAATCAAACATCGATTATTTTCGTTTTCGAATGATCGAAATTCGATAATTCGACATACTCTCGTGATGCTTTGTGCAAATCTCCATTCAGTTGATTTTTGTGAATCTACAATGAAATGATGTTGAATATTCTGATTTATCGCCAAGTGTTTTTGTGAATCCTGTGAAGTTTTGTATGTCATCACATAGGTATATGATTGTGAAAATAAATCATTTCTCTACATTAAAGTTTGAAGTCGGATTCGAAATGGACTAGCATTACATCTGTAGCAAATTCACTCGACAGACCATTCATACTATTCTTCATACTATTTTTATGAGCAAGAAACTTTTACTCGTTCAGGAGCTAGAAAAAAGGAATAAGTATAAATCAAATATTTACATTTACAGCACACTGAATTTTTAAGAGAAAGAAAATGAATTTTGGATGCGCTTTTGCATGTCAAACAGAAAGACTTTTTGTATTTGTTTTTTGTTCTTTGAATAACGATAAACTTCAGGATAAAAAAGAAAAGTGTTCTGTTGTATTCTATCATAAAATAGAATTGCTGTAACCCAGAGATGATCTTAACATTAACTCTAGCATAAAAGTTATTATTAGATTTTTTCTAGTATGATGGCGACCAGTTCTAAGCAAGGTGAAGGTTCATTAAATGCGATCCAAAATCAAGAAGAAATTACATTGATATGGTTAGACGCGAAAATTGCTGATCTAACTAGCAATGATATAAAACACACAAGGCAAATGCTCAGAGAAATAAACGACTGTGTTGTCTTTTATTAAGACTATCAACAATGCATTAAAGATATTCTATCTATTCGAGATGAAAAAATATTTCTCATAACATCAGGAAAATTGTCACTTGAAGTGATCGCAAAAATTCATGACTTACCACAAATCGATACTATATTCGTTTTTTGTCTAAAACCGGAAAAATATCAAACTCTCTACGATAAATATGGAAAATTGGTAGGTATTTATAATAAACAAGCAGATGTCGTACAATCCATTCGTGACAATATTGAATCTGTTAGAAAACAATCCGAAGTATTTAGTTTATTCAATCAAAACGAGACTTCCTTGCGTGACTTATCGAAAGATTCAGCATCGTTCATGTATTTTCAACTTATCAAACAGGTCCTGTTACAAATGCCTCATACTGAACTAGCAAAAGAACAAATGATCCATAATTGTCGACTTTATTATCGAGGAAATAAAAGCGAAATGTTCAATATCGATCAGTTTGAGTCTACTTACACGTCGAACAATGCAATTCAATGGTACACAAAACAATGCTTTATCTACAAGCTTGTCAATAAGACATTGAGAACAGAAGACGTCGAGGCGTTTTATACACTACGATTTTACATTATTGATCTATGCGCCCAATTAATGCAAGAATTCAGTAGAAAACCACGAGAGACTTCGAACTTGAAACTCTACCGAGGCTTGAAGCAATCGCATGACGAAATAAAAAAGTTAAAAGACAATATCGGCAATTTCGTCTCAACCAACGGATTTCTTTCGACAATTCGTTCATATAACATCGCTTTTGAATTTGCCAAAAAGCCATCGAAACGAACTGATGTTGAACCAGTTCTCATAGAAATCTCTATGAACATAGAGCATCCAGATGATTCGGTTGTATACGCCGACATAGCAAACTACAGTCAGTTTCCAAAAGAAGAAGAAGTCTTATTCGATTTAGGCGTGGCGTTTCAAATTGATGCAGTTGAGTACAGTGACGTTGATAAATTATGGCACGTACGTATGAGTCTGACGGATAAGCACACGGAAGTGGTTGCAAACTATTTAAAACTTCGAGAAAAAGAAATTCGAAGGACAAACGTTATTATAACGTTTGGTAAACTATTAATTGAAATGGGTCAATATTCAAAATCACAAAAATATTTTGAAAACTTACTATGCATTGAACCAAATCATGATCATCTAGCTGATATTTATTTTAATATAGCTCGTAGCTACGACAATAAAGCGGAGTACACGGAAGGTATAGACATGTATACACGTGCGTATGAGATGTACAAGAATGCTAAACCACCTCAAGTGTTACCAGCTGCAAAAGCACTGAGTGCTATTGGAAGTATCTGTCGCGACCAAGGTAATTACGAACAAGCATTAGATTGTTACAGGAAAGTTTTAAACATGTTTGACGAGCAAACGACGAGTTTATCTGAAAAGGAAGTGATTGCACGATGTCTACATAGTATCGGACGCATTTGTCAAGAAAAGGGTGATAATTTATATGCTCTAGAGTATTATTTACTAGAGTATTATCGACGTGCATTACACATATTCGAAAAAACTCTACCCGGCGAACACCAAAATATTGCTCGTACGTTGAATGGAATTGGCGCAGTCTATCGAGAGCAAGGCAATAGCGTCGAAGCATTGAAATATCACGAACGAGCATTGAAAATATATCGAAAATCATTACCAGAGTATCATTCGATGACCGCAAGAACACTTGATTACATATCACAAGCATATGCAAGCCACGGCGATTCTAAGCTAGAATTAGAGTATGCAGTGCAAGCTATGGATATATTCGAAAAAGCATTACCACAAACTCACTCAGATGTATTGAAAAGCCAGCAGAAAGTAGCAAATCTAACATAAAGGTGATGGTAACCAGAGTTGTGATTTCCTGTTTATCAATAAACGATAATTAAATTACTTGTTTTTTCAATCAATGTATCCATTGTAAATGAAATATGCATATTTTCTCTAAAAGATTCATTGTAAGTGAATAGCTTTGTCCGTTCACTATGTGGAGATATATCTGTGTCGCTTTCTGTTCATTTACATGTTATGCGCTTGAAATGAATGCTTGATAGACTATAATGCCACTTAAGGTACATGTCAGTTAGATGGATGGGAAGTGCATAATGACTAAATGGGTAGTGTATTCAACGCTGACATTCACATGCTATACAATATTTTACATATCGGGTGGACCATAAAGAATGGACCACTCAGTATTTTGCTTATGACTTGGTTTGGATTTGTTTCCGAGACTCGATGTCTTTTTTAAAAGATGCGCTGCAAAATTCTCTACAAGATCATACCTAAACTATAATTTCAGAACGTCAATCACGAAAACTAAGCCAATTGGATGAAAGTCGAAAAAAAAGTAAACTTCTTAAACTTAAAAATGATTTCTTGTGTTAATGTTTTGAAAGTAAGAAAAACTGAATTAGCCATTTTGTAGCTCTGACTTCGCTCTATCTTTTAGCTACACTTCAAATGTTTTCATATCAAAAGCCACAGCGAAATAATAGTTTTTCTATCTGTTGTCATGCATTTTTTCATTAATTTTTTAAATTTTTGGTATAGTAGTGCTTTCAGTAAAA